GTTTGGGAGTGGTGTACGTAAGAGGTGAGTTGATTACGCTGGTACACATTTATGGTCCTTAAATCTGGCGACCTGGCCTCACAGTACAGTGGAAAATGTGTCTACGGCTAGTGTTCTAGTCCACAATAGACTCTTCTGTCAGCTGAAAAAGAAAGAGACAAAAATAGCTGAATTTTGCAACGTAGCGGGCATTTCCGTGATCTCAAAGCAGATCTTTCGGTGCCGCAAAGGCGAAGACCGAGTATCAAATTGGCCAGGCAGTAACCATTTGCCACTAGCTGGCGTAAAAAAAAACAACCTACAAACGCCCGATGAAAACGCCTAAAAACACGCAAAAAAAATAAGCCAAAGCCTAAACCTCTGCTTTAAAAGTAGCATTTCCGCGCATATTGGCGAAATAATGGAAATATCTGTTAGATGAGTATTGACCGGCTATGGGAGACCCTATATACAACTGTGTGCTCCTATGACCAAAAATGGTGGCCGCCAGTATATTAGTATGTATATCTGAGTTTAAACTCGATCCTCTGGCAATATATTGTCCCAAGTTGTGCCATTTTCTCAACCACGTTTACTATCATATACTTAACTATTAAGCAAAAAGAATGTTCATGATTCAATTACTCATTTTGATGAGAAAAGAGTAAAATAATGCTACGCCGGCTACATGTAGTAACCTAAATGTAAAATTGTACAATTGATGTAAAAATAGAATAATCTTGTTTACTTTTCAATCTCATTTCAGCTCTATTGCTGAAATATGTACTCCATTGCCGACAATGGCTTCATGTGAAACCGTATACGGGTAATTTCCTACAAATACGGTCAACCCAACGGTAGAATTTCTTTCTTCTTGTGGATGTATAGATCTGTATTGTATACTTAAAGTCTTCGCTTAAATTGACGACAGTCTCCAGTTATACGTTTTAGTAATAATCACAAAAATACAGAGAATCGCACAGTCTATTTACTTCATTCCACAAATATCACAAAATGTCCAAATTCATAATGATAATCGGTAGGTAAAGGTAAACATATATAAATGTGTAGTAAACCACGCGCTGCTTCCATATTGTAAGTGTGCAAAAAAGGTACATTCAACATTGCAACTCAACTCTGTGGATTTAGGCTGGTTTAATTCCACCTCTTTCATTTTTTTCTTCGGGACAAACTACTAAGGCGTAAAAAAACCAAAACGTTACCTGGCTAGATTTTTTAAACTAAAGTGAGAATGAGCAGATGATATAGTGTACATACAACGCACTCTTATATATTATCGCCCGCCATTTTGTTTGACCATGGCCGCCATATCTTTGTAGTACGTTGTGTATTTCGGCTGTTACACTTGGCTTTTCCTCGTGGATTGGCTGGTATAGAAAATAATAAGTCCTTTAACTATACCCTTAATTTTTCTCGCGCAGAATCTCATTTTCGTTTTATCCTATTTCTTACAAAGTCGGATGTTACCTAATGCTGGCATACTTGTACTAGTATTCCGGCTTCTATCACAATAGTATTTTTGAACACATGTTACTGTTCAAAGAATTCTCTGATATTTTTCACGTTTTTCACGTCTCACCAAACTATATTACTGCTAACATCCCCAAATCCATTTATTTTTCAAAAAGTCGGACAATTCATTTGCCTCCAGAGAAGAAGTCGAACCCCGTAATAGCTTGACTAGAAGTCGAAATAGAATGGTAGTTGCCATGTTTCTCCTACCTGTTTATGTACATTGTATTACATATCCTCTCTCTCTTTCACGTATACATACGTTATTAGTGCATATATTAAGTAGAGATAGAACCTTAGATTAGTACAAGGTAGAACTGCATGTTAGCACATGGTTTTATACCATTCTTCACTACATTCTGTACTCATTGTCCTTGTTCAGTTTGCAATTAGCCTTCGGACATGAACTTGCGAGAAAGAACCTTAATTAGTCACGTGTAAACTTGAAGTTGATAAAGAAGAAACTATAATCCTATCTTCATCACTGTGCAGTGAATCAAAACTGTTCGAGGAAAGTTAGAAACACGTACGCACCGTACAGGCTATGGAGAACATTTTTTTGGCCACGGCACGGCAAAGGGAGAAATCGTATGAACAAAACAGTCCCGATCTTACTTGGAGTCCGTATAATATATTTACCTCATACATTCTTACCTTCCAATGTAAAATCCCTTCGTCGGAAAGTGTTATATAGCAAGGCATTTGAAAATCTACCAGTAATTTCAGACTCATCGAATGGAAAGAAAGATACGGGGGATAGATGGGGAATATTCTCTCTCGCATCCTCTTTCCTCCATCTTGTGCTTCCTCCGTTGATCATCACGTGTGTCCATCTAAAATTTCTCCTATCGATGATAGACAATTTCGTATGATTCTGACTACTGGTATCTAACTCTACATTCAAACAGGCTAGAATGGGGATGTGTTTTAGGGGCTATAGGTTTTTAAAAAGCGGATAGCGTAAAGGAACTAGAATATCTCACCATCCGCCTATACTACGAGTGCTCTCCCATTAGAGATTTAGGCTTCGGCTTATTTTTGGCGTGTTTTTGAGCATTTTATCGGGCCTTCTTTTTTTGTACTGGTGTATTTTTACGCCAGCCCTTCGAGTGGCAAATGGTACCTGCCTGGTCAATTTGATACTGTCCTTGCAGTTACCGAAAGATCAGCGTCCATACCTGTTCTTCGTTATCGTTTTTCGACTGTGCGTGTGAAAATATTTCACTAGGTAATACATAACGGGTCTCCGCATATTGCTTGAAATAGCATAAAGGCGATATGTTTAAAGAAAAATGTAAATGTGCATTTATTGGTACACCGATAATTATCTACTACGTATTTCGCATACCAACTATGCTTTAAATAATTGGGTTTTGTAAACAGTTATTAGTCATAGCTTGGAGTACTATTCTACAGATATACAGTACGTAACGTCAGTATTGCAACGTTTTCTCCACAACATTTTTGCAAGGGTAACCTTCAAGTCAGCCATGTTTGTTTTGTATAGCCAGGAGCCCATTCTATTCCGTATTTACGTTGACGTTGTTCTGTACTGATGTTGACACTGATATTGCGAAGTAAGAGGTTAGGCTGTGGGCGACAGAGTGTAACGTTGGGTCTTCTCCGTCATGGAGAAGCATTTTAGAAAAAAAATCATCACACCCTTCTGATACCGAAAACGCTGGATTTTTTCAACAAGGTAAAAAAAAAATCTAGATTGAATAGGGTTAAGAATTCAACCGATATTTAACAGGCTTTTCGTATAATGATAAAATCATTGGTCAATATTGTAATTTCATAACAGATGCGCTATTTATAGGGATCCAATGCAATTTCAGGTGCAAAAAAATTCTGGACGAGTCTGGAAGAGTCTGATATCTATTGCCATTTCTAAGCACATTGTCGTCATTATTTCATATTTGAAGCATTTTAAATATCCCCAAAAGCAAGGCGTCTCTTTATTTTTTGATACCACCAATAAATAGCTAGAACCATCCTATGATACAAAAGAAGCAACCATTTTCCGTCAGCGACGTCGCATTTTTGCCTCACATATATCAGTATGCTATGGGACAATGTTGATTCAACTTACTACATGTACATTAAAGAATGACTAGAAAATCGACTTTGAAAATCCAGTTTTGCCGCCCCGAAATTCCAATGATTGGATAAAAAATCCTTGGTCACTACGATACTTTCACAACAGATGCGTCTTTTTACTCCCAGAGTATCAAACCTTGTTCAATGCTAACTATATGCAAAACCTCACTCCTTTTTGTGCAAAGCAACTCTCCCGTCTGTCGCCAGTTCTCAAAAGACTGTGACAATGAATTTGCATGGTATTAGTAACACCCTGCCATGTTGCCGACCTAGAAAGAGTCGGCCCTTTGTTGATTACACATTATAATGCAAGGAAGGACATTTTGGCGTTTTATAGCTCGTGTAAAGGTCAAAGTCGTCATTTTAAACAGAGATATTTTGATAAATTGCCCGGAAAGCGTTCATTGTATTTGGCAGATGTTATGCATTCTTATGGTGCCAGTTTGAAGGCATCCAGTGCAAGTTCATGGCAGTAAAAAAAGCAAAAAGAAATTCTACTGGATGAAGAATTTTAAATCTGTGATGTTAATACTTAATGCTCATGATTTCGTAGCACACTTTCGTCATGATTTCATACTTGAAGCGTTTGAAATATCCCCAAAACAAGCCAAGTGAGTAGTTCCTTTTTTTTGGTACCACCAATAAATAACTAGAACCAGGCTACGATACAAAACAAGCAACGGTTTTCCGTCACAGACATAGAATTTTGGCCTCACACATATCAGTATGCTATGGGATAGGATTTCTTCAACTCAGTACATTAAAAGATAAGAAAACCATCGCAAAATTGACTTTGAAATCCAGTTTTGCCACCCTGAAATCACATTTGATACCTTTAAAGTTTAATTTGAAAAGAGGGCATGACACAGAGCTGAGCCGGGAATACCCAGTTGAACTTGGATCCAGCCTTCATTCCGGGTCAGAAAATTTCTCATGTTGTTTGTGAAAAGAAATTGTATCTTCGTGAATCATTATTGAAATCTTTTTAGTCTTATTGTTACCTTATTATGTATGCGTGCAGACAGGCGCTGTCCCTTCGTTAATTTGCTAATTGGATGTCATTATGCGGCGGTATCACACTGCCGTAATAGGATCTGGACTTTGTAACTGTTCCTCTCTAGTCGTACGAGTATTGTGAAAAAAACGCTTTCAAAGCCGTTGTTGAAGTATGGGAAAGCTTTTAATCTTTTTTTTTTTCATAAATATTTTTTACAAAAAGTCATCGCAAGTGTACTACATACACAGACAAGTGCTATTATCTTAACCTAGATTTGCATATTTCAACAATTCTTTTATACATGTCTTTTTCATACATATTTTGATAACTAGAAGTGCCAAGCGAAATGGAAATAGTAAGTAAAGGAATTGAAACAAAGACGCTACGTTTTTTATGAAAGTTTTCAATCCAGCAACAGCAAAAAAATCGTTCTCATTGCAGCAAAGACAAAGAACATCTACATCACCATAAGCGTTGGTTTCCAAGAATACCGTCTTTAGTCAGTGAACACGGAACAAGTGCCAAAACCACGCGGTATGGAGTGCGTTCGATTCCCGATGTTTTTTCCCGAGAGTTCCGTCGGTTCAGTCTTATCATGAAGCTGGTGAAAATCAGAAGATCTTTATCCAAGGGATTAGCATGACGACCGGCCCGGTCCAGTTTTTCACAGGTCGGGCCTACACCCAAATTCCTTTAATTTCCATGTGTATGAATTAATTGACGCGCACAGACAATGATGGAAAGGACCAGTGACTCATTTCCTTTGAGAGCCTACCGTCTTGGGACGGGCCGAGAGAGAGAAAAAGGACAGCGAACCAGAAAAACTGGGACCGGAAGGACAGGAAAAATAGGCGGTGCACACCAGACAATTTGGGAAGAGGAATCTTGCGGCGTAATTCCAGTTGTTTTCCTTTCCGCTTTAGCTCGTGAGGAAGCTGTGTTTTTTGTGCTCCTTTGAACTGCGACCCCATGCAAGGCATGCAAAGGCGTCGCCGTACATGACTTGGGTTTCAAATTGGCACATGCAAATTCACGGGCGCTAGGGGAGGGGAGAAACCGACGCCCTGCTTTTCCCCACACGAGAACAGATGCGGAGACCTGAGACCTTTCAACGAAAATTCCACCAAGATCTCCAAACCCGGCCAAACCTGAACGAAAAACCGTCCGACTGTTTTTGCAAATTTGTTTACGCACCAAAAAAACAGGCGAGGTTCGTTGTGTAAGCAAATAAGAGGCGTTGTTTGCGAGAGGAATTATAAAGGAAAGGCGGCGGACATTTTCTGTTGTTTGCCGCTTGGTGTAGTCCCCGGGTCCCGGGGACAGAGGGCTGGTCGGTTATTCAAATGCAATGTCATAGTGCATTGTCTCGATTCGCCGAGTTCTACATCCGGAAGAATGACGCTAACATCATGACAGACGACCAGAGGAGAGGTTTAAACCACCAGAAGGACGCGGAAACCGCCGCAGAGAGAGAGTTCGATGCGGCTCTGAGGAAAGGATGGTCGGGGAGCCCGGATTCCGACTCGTAAGTACAAGAACCGGCGTGCCACGGCGTGGGTATGCCTAGATATGATCTCTCGTTTTCTGGTCTAAATTTTCTTCCACAGCCTCGCGTTGTCTGTACAGTTTTATACATCGCCTGGCCGCGTTTGTCCGCTGAAATTTTGATCAGTCCGTAGATGTAGGCCTGAAGTCCGAGTAAGACAGAAACGGGCTAATCCAATCTCTATCGATTAGGGAAAATTACTCAGCCCTCGAATCAATACTTGTAAGAGGTTTCATGGTTACTGTTTACGTTTACGCGACTTAGAAAATTACTAGGAAATGTAAGAATGAGACTCGAAGCTATTTTCGATGCACAAGATCCGAAAAAAAGGGAAAATGGGTGACTTTTTTTTAGCAGATTACGATAGGGTGAGCGTGTTTTTTATATTCCCCCCTCATTAGCAGATTACGATAGGGTGAGCGTGTTTTTTTTATATTCCCCCCTCATAAATTAAAGCGCCATTTTGTTCTCAGCACAAAACAAACATGGAAATGAAACGGCTCGACTTGTTTACGGGTCTCTTTTTTGTTTTGTTTACCAGACAAGTATCTGCTTAGCTTTTGTGTTGTTGTGTACAATTTGTCGCTTGGGAAGTTTTTTTTTCGTGTATGTGTGCAACGGAATTTGTCGAAATAACGCAAGTGCGCCTAATATGGGAGCGGCTTGGAATTTATTTTGGGCAATTCTTTTTGGGGTAGGATGTGAGAAAAGAAGGGAGGGGGGGGGGCACAATTCTTTTGAAAATCTTTGCATAAATAATTTTTGCATTCATAGCAGTTGCTAATAAAACACGCTTCTCACGGTTAACGTTTCAAAAAGTCTCGTGCGAAAAAATACCTCTAATTTTTAAGCAAATTTATGGGCCTGGGTAGATTTGATAAAAGGGACCGTGCATAATTATTTGATGCATGTATTTATGCAAACATGTCAAATTAGTGCTTAATCAACGGCCCAGCTGAATGAGGTCCAAATTAATATCAGAATTTTGCGATGAGAATAAAAGAGCAAAAGAAATATAGTAATGAAAAAAATGAAAACAACTGGAACAATTTTTAACATTTTTAGAAATGTTTCAACTTGATGAACAGCTGAAAGAATAGTACCAAGTATTTCGCAGAAGACACGTGACTACAAAAATGCCAAAAACTAGCCCTAATCAGAAATGAAATACAGTACAATTTGGTCACACGCAAACGCGAATAAGAATATATTTGTTAAAAGTATGCATTTCACACATAAAACTAGGAAACCTCGAAAATGAATATTTTATGCAGTTTCGCCAGGCGATTATGCAGAACATGAGATAATTAGAAAATTTAGAGATAGATATTAATTTAAAAATTGCATTACATAATACGCACAACATTAGGCAGTGCAAGTACATCATAATACAAGTTGGAATGACAGCAACCACATGTACAAAGTATGTAGTAGTGTTAAACGCTGATAGGACTATGTAAAAACGGTTTCCAATCATGAATATGCAAATTTCTGTGAACATGTAAAATTCACAGGGAGGGAAGCAAATCATCTTTAATTTTAAATATAATAATGATAATAAATATGGAATAATGTATTACGTCTTGCAAGTATCATTTTGAGGATATGGTCTTTTTTGGGTGCCGCACTATAATGATTCCGCAATACTTTGCAAAGGATATTTGGGAGTCTTTTTAGAATACGTAGGTTGGTGTCCAGGCTATTTTTGTTGTTCATTGTTTGGGACAAAGTAGAACTAGCGTTAGGGATATGGAAATATCGAGTGTGTCACCACGTGGACATTACAAGTTTGAATTATTCAACAAAATAAAAACTCAACTCGCTACTAGATGTCAAATATGAAAAATGTAAAATTCTAAACATCATGACGCTAGAATAAACAAAAGAATATGCGTTTGACCTAGTTCGAAACGTTCTAGTTAAGTTGAAACATGTTGCTCAGAGAAGTTGAAGAATGGCTACCATTATTGTTTTGACATGTGCCAAACGCTACCCGCCATTGTCAAATTCAAGTTCAACAATTACAGAATCAAAGGTCGTCATGGTTTATATTGTCACCGAGGGAGGCATGGAAAGAAAGAGGACAGTACAAAGGACCCGGGTCATTAGTTCATTTTCTCAGCTTGTTTCTAAGCCCTTTTAACAAAGCAGTATTTAGGGGGACGTCAATTCGATGGCGGCGGCCAAAACACGACCATGCAAGCGGCGCAGTGAGGGGTGGGGCTGGGGAGAAATTCTTGTTTTGGACGTACAAATTCGCGGTTTGGAACATTTCACGACTGTCAGAGAAGTGTTTTAGGAACATTTTTTCTTCAGAACACGACAATTAGCAGTAAAATAAGTACCAGAGTCACCAAACTTGGAGCATAAAGGCAGTGATCGTTGTGGTGTAACTGTAATTTGTTGTTTTTGGTGGCAAAGTGTTCCAGAGATGAACATTGTTGTCAGAGTTTTTCTTAATTTCGGGACGTTTTTTGGGACGTATGAGAAGATTCATAAACTTCAAAATCTCTCTCAGAGGGAACCGTGGATGAATTGTTGGATATATCCCTTAAAATCGCAAGAATAGTCTGTAAAAATGCCGCAATTTCTTTCATTTCTGTGGCTGTGTACTAAATATTTCTATGGTAACTAAACGAAGGAGGTCGCATCATCACGGTGAGCGACAACGAAAGCTCAAAACTATAAAAGTTGGATTGACGTAGAGTTTATGAAATTTCATTCTAGTATTAGAGACTGAAGAAATCTACATCTACATCTAGAGCGTATATATCACAACTATTTCAGACACAGAAAGTGACATAAACTGGTCGGTACAAATTGTTATTGTGAAGGAATTTTGTTAGTAGTTTGATCTACAACTGAAAAAAACAGAGAGCATTCTTTCTTTTCCTTTTCGACATTTCTTAAACACATTTCAACTCTTGTTATGAACATATCTGTGGTAGATTTTCACAAGGTACTTTTTGTCCAGGGGATAAATTTGAACAAATTATATCTTCCTTGGGTATGAAAAGTATAAGTACACTATATACTCGTATACTGGTTTTAGTAGCCACCAGAACTGACACAGAAAAATACGCGATGGAAACATTGGACAGTATAAGTTCGCATAAATATTTGTAGTGCTCTCCTTGCTTTTTTTCAAGAAGAAATTTTTCTGTAAGTACGTAAATACGCAGTTGTAATTATTTTTATCAAGACCAGATGTTTGTCATTTGTGTACACTTGGGAGATCGAAAACAACTGGAGTAAATTTCGATGAACGAACTGGCAAGCCACGCATCGAAAACCTTCCCCAGAAATAGCGTTAGCGAAGAACCTGTCAAAATGCCTGACAACAAACAGCCAGATAACAGGATTTTCATACATCTGGAATCGCTAAAAACGAAGCAATTAGGAGACTAAATTTCCACATGTTTTCGTTGTGATTTCTGCAAACTGAACAGAGATTTTGGAACAACGAATTTCAGAGCACTTACTGCAAGACGATAGGGTGAAAAACACTGGAAACAAGACAAAGATTGGCGGGAAAACTATCTCGATCGACAAAGCATGGTCAGAGAACTGTGGCGGCCACACACACAAAAACACATTATGCAAAAACAAATAGCCAAGCGTTGTTTATCTCGTAAGTTGGGGAGCACGTGACTCGGGTGGTAACAGGGATACGTTGTGTGGTGGAAAACGTAATGTGGGCGGGACCGGGGAAGCAATCAGAACCATCCCGTACTCTGACAGAGAGACTCCCGCAAAAAAAACACCCACGCGTCCGTACGGCACCGTACCACACACACGCTCAGGCCGCCGCCATGTTGCCACTATGACAAGAAATGGACCACAAGAAAAGGTACGACTGAAACCAGTAGTTAGACGTTCAAATCGCGGCGTTTTCTGCAGTTTTTGTGGCAGATCAACTGGAAAATAGCTGGACATACGGATCATTGGCGTGGCTTATTGAATTTTGTCGTTTTTCTGGCGGAAAAGATGGGTATATTTCAAGCATGGAGTTCTCTAGGAAGTGTAATAGCTTTGGGTCCCATGTGTTAGAAAGAACTCATGTGGTATTATAAGAGCTTTAATCGGAGTGATTTTTACGGCTTTTAATTGGTGTAATTTTGCACAAATCTTTCACGGGGAAACTTTGCGGTTTTCCAGTCTGCACGCAACTTGCGGATTCCATGTATAAAAGAGGGAAATCGAAATGACTTGCCTGCACTAGAATACACCAGGACGATTCAAACACATCGGTAAATTTAGAGAAAAATCGTGGTGAAATGAAGAACACAACAGTTTTAAATTTTTCACGAGATTGATAGGTTTCAGCGAACGAAAAAGATTGTCATATGTTAACATGTTGTACAAGTAAGGAAAGTATAACAGTTTGTAGAGTTAGGCAGGAACAGAAAAATCCACCTGTGCCAGTGGTACACCGTGGAGGGATGTTGTAGAGTTGAACTGTAGATGTGATACAGCATTTTCTATACTGCACCTGATGGGATATTGAAATCTGTGTTTCTTAACCAAAATGTAAAATGAGCTACTCCCTTATAGCTAAATTATTCATCTAGACTAAAAGTTAGACAATTTCTGACAATGATTTTTCTCACATGCATTTTTCTCTACTTCTCAACTTGTGTTCCTTTCACTCACAGTCACACTCAAATTTGAAAACTATTGCGCCGACCAGTTTTTTTTCTAAATTTGAATAAATTACAATATAGGAAAGACTTGTATGGTGTCATACATGTATAATTGTACCCATAACCTAGTTGATTTAAATTGAGCAGATGATACTTTGGAGTTATGAAACTGTGAGTCAGTGTGACTAAGTACATGATATGAAACTAGCCTAAACAATTGGTGGCAGTCTGACACTTTGTCCCTGTAGAATGTTTCAAAGAAATCTTACAAAGAAATAGGCGTTTTCTATCAAGAACTGAAATAAACACATCATATTTGTAGTCAGCTGTCCTACT